GCCTGAGCATTTTTTAACTCTTTTTGCCAAACAAATTTCTCTCATCCAACTAACAGTTCAGATTCAACACTTCAAAATTCAACTCTATACAATAGTTTCCAGTTAAAACAATAGCCTTCAATTTAGACATTAGCATCTACTACATTTCGAAGTGCCAAGCATAACTCTAATCTATGAGCCCGTTTGAATATTGAATTTTTGTTACATAAATTAAGTATAGAACTTTGTTGAATTCTAATCGAACTCGATAAAATTTCCATAATTGTTAATTATGGAAAAAAGTATACATAAAATTATTGGAAAAAAGTATATAAAATAAAACTTTAAAAACTGTTATAGATTTTGAGTACACATAGCTAAAGTTATTTTTTTTTTTTTGAAACATATAGCTAAAGTTAATATATAATAGCTTTTTATTACTCATAACATATCACTCCATATATGTATTATTTCTAAAATTTTCAAATGCAATTATAAATTATGGAAATTTTGTCGTGTTTCATTAGAATTCATCGGGCCCCAACATAGAAAAATCTCATGTTAATTTTAATTTAATATTATATAAATAAGATTTTAAAACTGTTATACGTACGTGTTTTTACATTTGGAATACATATACATAAAGTTAATTTATAATATCTTTTTATTATCGTTTTTTATAATCTATCAATTTTTGCAATTTACTACTCTCTCCGTCCATGAAGATCTTCCACTTCGCTTTTCGAGTGTCAACTTAAATCACTCTTAATATTTTACTTAATATATCAAAATTTTATGAAAAATAAATTATTTATTGTAGGTTTTGTCGCGGTTTTAATGTAGTATCCGAATATGTAATTTTTATTTACTAAAAATAATATGAACTTTTACATGAATCATTTAACTTTATCACTGGTAAATCTTTGTAACCCGCAATTGGATGATCTTTTTAGGGACAAATGTAGTATCATTTTCACAATGCACACATTAATCGGAGCGATAGCTTCAAATAAAATTGCATAAAATCTATCGGAAAGAATAACACAATAAATAACAGTGATGGAGTTTGTGTGGTTTTATTCTAAGGCATCACTCCTAATTAATCTTGTGCACTGTTAAAAATGGTCCTAAATTGCAAAAATTAATAAAAAATAATAATTTATTACAGTATTATGTTATATATACAACATTGGTGTCATATGAAAGCTGATAAAAATTTATGAACATACTTCGTATATTTTTAACAATCAAAGTATAACAAATGTTATAACACTAAAAAACAAATATTTTTTAAAGTGGTAAATTAATTTTTTGTTTTTATATATTCAATATTGGTCTCATATGAAAGGTAATAAAAATTTATGGATTATGATATATGTTTTGTAACAATCAGAGTACAAATAAAAAAGTTATAATCATTTAAAATAAATATGAGATTTTATTTTGTGAATTATGTAGCTTTAGGATTCCAACATATATGTTAGTTCTAATTTAATTTAAGATGAGTTCGACTCTAACTTAAATACTCAATTGATCGGTAGTAGATAATTAATTGATTAGTTAAATTAATGATTACGGTTAAAAAATACTAATATACGGAGTGTTAAATTGGAAAGAGAATCTAAGATATTATAATCAATAATTACTTAGAAGATGACACATGGCAAAACTTTCCCTAATTGTAACCTTCAAATGTATTATCTATAGATTATCTATAGATGTTAATTTTTATATAAGTAATTAAATATGAGTACTCCGTAAAGATAGTGTTACTAAACTTATTATGTTACTCGGTATTACTTTATTTTATAGTTATTGGAGTACATCCATAAATTTAATTTAGAGATATTACCCAAAATGGGACTAAAAAAGATTGGAAATTCCAAAATAGGACTTCCATGTTTTTATTCCCAAAATAGGACTAATTACTGTCATGTTTTGGCAGTACCAGACTTCAAACATGGCAGTATTTTCCAAATTTGGCAGTAATTAGTCCTATTTTGGGAATAAAAACATGACAGTCCTATTTTGGAATTTTCAAACTTTTTTAGTCCCATTTTGGGAACTTTCCCTTTAATTTATGACTTACTGAAATAGTTATTCATCTATTAGAGTATGTTTTTTTACATCTATTAGAAAATGTCATTTAATAAAGGGAAGAATAATTCAAATACTCCAAACTATGAATGGGTGATAGGTAAATACTCAAAACTTGCATGTGTAATTTAAATATCTCAAACTTTACATAAAAAAATTATTTTAGCACCATGATCATATATTAATTTAAATTTACCGTCATACGAAGTATAATTTATGGTGAAAATTATATGTTGATGGTGCTAACATAACTCTTTATATAAAGTTCAGGATATTGAATTTACATATACAAGTTTGGGGTGTTTACTTCGCACTCTTTCAAAATTTGGATTATTTTAATTATTTTTCCCCTTTCCATTTAATAAATCAAATTTTGATTGTAAATAATATGTTACTGTAGATAATTAAATATAATGTTAAAATTACAATGGATATCTTCTAAAAAATGAAAACTCAATGCAAACAATTTTGATATATTTTGTTCAAAATTTTGTGATCGTAAGGATGTTTTTACTCTAACTGTTTTCAATCTCAGATCAGATCAAGTTGGACTTTTATAGGTTTATAAAATACACAGAGACTAGACATTTGCCAAACTAGACCAGATCAGACTTAAACAAATCAGACCAGACTAGACCAACAAATTTCAGTCCAAGTAAAAACATCCTAACGACACAATTATACTATAGTATTTTTTATTCTTTTGTTCCACCACTTCTACTTAGTACTCCCTTTGTCCCATTATACACATCTTACTTTCCATTTTAAGTTGTCCCAAAATAAGTGTCATATTTTTTCTGGAAAGACATATGAGATCCACAATATTTCATTTTATTATACCCAAAACACTACTTCAACTTTTACTTTTGATCATTTTATTTATAAGGCTAAAGGTTCAAATAGGCCCTTGAACTTACTTAAAGTGTTTAATTAGCACCTTATATAGGAGGTTCTGCCCGGCCGTCGCTAATTGGGACGGTTCCCGGTGGAATTTTTTGATGAGATTTTTTTAGCATCTTCTTCATTAAGTCTAGTTTATTCATACCTAATTTCAGCTAAAAATTCAACCGACAAGGCAGTCAAATGATTTTCCGAAATGTACTGCGCTGTTTAACTTCGCAGTTATCTTCAAAAAATCATTTGACTGCCTTCCTGGTTGAATTTTTAGCTGAAATTTGGTATGAGTAAACTAAACTTAATGAAGAAGATTCTAAAAAAATTATCAAATAAATTCCACCAGGAATCGCCCCAATTGGTGACGGATGGGCAGAACCTCCTATATAAGGGGCTAATTGAACACTTTAAGTCAGTTCAGGGGCCTATTTGACCCTTTAGCCTATTTATAATTATGTCAAATTGAAACAAGACACATAAAATAACACATAAGCGTAGTATCTTTAATCACTCTGCCCCCAATAAACATTTTTTCTAGATCCGCCACTGGTTGTATTACACCCCACATGCATACTTAAGTTGATGAATGTCTTGCTACGTATATGTTTATTTTAATTAAAAACTTTAACACAAGAAATTGCTTTTTATTTCATATGATTATCAATCTTTTAAACAATAGAAGTGTGTTTTCTTCCTCTTTGAACTAATACACTTAGAGCCCATTTGGTAACACGAAAATCGGCTGAAGTGGCTCCATTGGTAGATTCTGCTAATTTTTAAAAAAAAAATAAAGTACTAAGTACTATCGTAGATTTTATTAACAAAAGCGAAAGTTCCCGAAATAGGATCGGACTAAAACAGTTTGCAAATTCCAAAATAGGACTGCCATGTTTTTTATTCCCAAAATAGGAGTAAATGAGAAATTATTACTGCCAAGGTAGGAAAATACTGTCACGTTTGAGCTCTGGTACTGCCAAAACAAGGCAGTAATTAGTCCTATTTTTGGAATAAAAACATGGAGTCCTATTTTCGAATTTTCAACCCTTTTTAGTCCTATTTCAGGTAATATTCTCTTAATAAAATAATGAAAAAATAATATGTAAAATAGCTAAAATGGTTATCTACAGTAACTTCAGCCAATACAGCTAGAAAAGTAACTCCAACATTACTTTTTCTTATTATTACACAATTCAACACGAGAGAACAAAAGTTACGTGTTTGGTGAAAAAGTTGGCTGATAAGCTTCATAAGCCGAAAAAGAGTGTTATCAAACGACCTCTTAGTCGAAATGAACATTGTATACATATCTATTCATTGCTTAATACGGAGTAGTTAATGCTTCGTATGATTTATCCAAAAATAATCATATTTGCATATCCAAAAAACAGTGTTATCAAATGACCTCTTAGTCGAAATTAACATTGTATACATATCTATTCATTGCTTAATACGGAGTAGTTAATACTTGGTATGATTTATCCAAAAATAATCTAATTTGCATATCCAATCTGATCTTTATATAATTTTATTTTTTTGCACAATATATTACTTTTATTATATTGGACCTATACATAATTTAAAGAATTTATGTCCCGTGCATCGCACGGGTGTTGTTAAGATACGAGGTTCCATCCTAAAAGGTCAACCTGATAGGAGGAGTAGCTCATGTGTTAATATAGCACTTTGTTCATCCAAATGTTTACAGTGTGGGACATTTAACACCCCTCCTCACGACCAGACACTTCGTCTGCATCGTGCAATCATTCATTTTTTTTCATCGGTCCGTTTTTTTCATCCGGACGTTTTTTTTTATAATCGTGTCATCATTTTTCATAAGAAGCCTCACACCATGGATCGGTTTGGCTCAGATACCATGTTAAGACACGAGGTTCCATCCTAAAAGGTCAACCTGATAGGAGGAGTAGCTCATGTGTTAATATAGCACTTTGTTCATCCAAATGTTTCCGGTGTGGGACATTTAACATGTCTAAATCTAGTATATCCTAAACTAGTGCTAACAAAACACATACCTCGTCGATTCTTGGTTTCATGAAGTCGGTTGACATATTACTAAAAACAGGAACAGACGCCCCTACCCACCTACATACAAGCACGACACACCATATTTAATTGTCAGTGGCGTATCCAAGAATTGAAGTGAGTGGGGTGAATTCATACTACTGTTTTCGTCCCATAAAATTCTTCCCACTTATTTTTTTGGGATGTTCAAAAAAAATCTTCTCATTTCTCTTTTTGAAAAGTTTTGTGTGGCTTACATTCATTTCCATTTTTCTTACTCAACCATAATCATACATTTCAATTTTACTCTCACTTTCTTAAACTCCGATCCAAATCAAACCAGGAAGATTTTCCAAGATGGAGGGAGTATATATTATTTCACGTGTGTCACAAGCACCTGAACACTTTAACTAAAATAATACAAAATTCACTGTAAATAAAACTATCCGTCGGTAAAAAAACATGAAATCATACTTAACAAATTTCACTATGTGAGAAATGAATTTGACACAAATTTTTTATTTTTTTGATGTTATGTTAACAAATCAATAATTTTAAATAAGCTAAGGCACATGTAATGTGTGTATTTAAAAGGGTAAAATGGCTATATAGCTTAAATAACTATGAGAAGATAAGTTAATAACAAACTTTATGTTTTTTTAAGTACATAGCACTTGTGACTGTAGAAAACGTACATTGCACTTCTTATGAGGCGGCATTATTATAGTTACTATATGTAACCGCCAGCTTTTATCCTTGTAAATTAGCTAGTTAAGCTATTTGTTTTATTTATACAAATATATACCATAAATTTAATTGTACTTATTTAAAGTTGTATATACACCCAAATATTCCTATTTAAAATTAGTGTAAATTGTGAATGCAAAATTATACTTCCTTCGTTCTTTAAAAGTTGCAACAGTTTGACTTTCACGTTTGCCAAGACACAACTTTGACTGTAATTATATTTAATTACGTTCTAGTAAACATTGAAAAAAGTTGATATTTTGAAAATTTGTATGAATAGAAATTTAATAACATTTTGTACATAATATTTTGATTATATATACTATTAGAAGGTGAAAGTAAAAGTCAAATGAAAAGGTGTGTGAATATTATGTACAAAATATTCATTTGACACTAATAGTATACAATAATCAAAGTAAGGTGTGTGAATAGTGCAAAATCCTAATGTTGCAACTTTTAAGAAAAGGAGGAAGTATCTACAAATGAATTTATACACGTGTAAAGTGTAATGAAGTATAGTTTAACTCTAAAATTGTGTAAACATACATTAAGTCACTTTAAATTTGATTAAAAGTTTAAGAAAGAAGAGGTTTTTCCCAAAATAATGTTAAATAAATAAATAATTACTAAAATAGTGTTAGGTTATTAATATTTCCCAAAGTAATGTCGGATTAAACTCGGGTTAAGAAAACCGGTGACACGACATAACATACGGAGTACTACGTAGTACCCCGGTGTAGCAATTAGGATTTACCAATTACTGTGTGATTACACCAAATTAGAAAAACAATTATTTTGTTTAAAGTGGTATAACTTTTTTATTTGTGCTCCGATTGTTATAAAACGTATACCAAAATTCATAACATTTTATTATCTTTCATATGACACCAATATGAGATATATAAAAATAATAAAATAAATAAGTACTTTCAAAAGACATTAGTTTCTTACAGTGTTGTAACTTTTTGTATTCGTACTCCAAATGTTACAAAAAATGTATCAAAATTCACAATTTTTTATCGTCTTTCATTTGACATCAATATTGCATATAAAAGTAAAAATATAATTAGGCATTTTAAAAAGACTTTAGTTTTTATAATATCGTGAATTTTTTATTTGTGCTCCGAATGTCACAACTTATATATCAAAATTCATATTTTTTGTGACATTCGGAGTACAAATGAAAAATTCACGACATATAAAAAACTAAAGTCTTATTAAAATGCTAAATAGTTTTTTTTTACTTTTATATTCAATATTGGTGTCGTTTAGGACTAAGGTTTGGATGTTGTTGTTCTTGTATTCAATATTGGTGTCAAATGAAAGATGAGAAAAAATTACGAATTTTGATAGGTTTTTTGTAACATTTGGGTACAAATAAAAATGTTACAACACTGTAAAAAATAATGTCTTTTTAAAGTACCTAATTATTTTTTTATTTTTATATATCTAATATTAGTGTCATATGAGATAATAAAAAGTTAAGAATTTTGATATATTTTTTATAACAATCGCGGCACAAATAAAAAAGTTACACCACTTTAAACAATATCATTGTTTTTCTAATTTGGTGTAATCACATACTTGGTAAATAGTAATTGCTACACCGGGGTAATCCGTAGTCAGGGGCGGAGCCAAGGGGGGGTCAGGGTGGTCAGCCGACCCCACTGAAAGTTCAAGAATGTAGAACTCTGAAATACATTCGATTTGATATATTATGGGTCTCGTAACTCATTACGAGTAAAAAGTTATGACTTCCGGAAAAATCAGTACCATCTTAACTTGAAATAAGCAAAATTTGATGTGTGACATTGGTTATATTCTTAAATTTAAAAATAAAACACCTTATTCAGTCATTAGTTGTTTGAACATTATGATACATCACACATATATCAATTCATTAACTGAAAAATGCTCATTAAACTATCTTTTATCTCAGCTACGTATGAAACATTTAACTCAAATATTGTATAATAACTATCCATCATTTTGATATTGTATATATTATTAAATTCCGACCCCCTCATACATTTTTCTGGCTCCGCCCCTGTCCGTAGTACTCCATATGTTATGTCGTGGAGTAATCCGACATTACTTTGGAAAATATTATTAACCTAGCATTATTTTAGTAATTATTTATTTATTTAACATTATTTTGGGAAAAATCTCAAGAAAGAATGCAAGGAAGATAATGGATAGAAATTTAAAATTCGAACCCCTGACCTAATGAATGAATACAAACGTGTACACCCCGCTTTCCGCTGCACTACATTCTACTTTATATACATTTAGCGTAATCACAGTATTTGTTATGTATATTCAGCATATATACAAGTATAAGTATAATTAATTTTTTAAATATAGATATATAGGGGTTGGGTAGGGTTGAGTGGGGGCAGCTGCCCCCCACCCCCACCTTGGATATGCCACTGTTAGTTGTCCTCTTTCATGGGTACAAATTAAACAGTTAGAAATATTCACAATAATTCTTTTAAGTCGCTCCTAAACTACGCAAGACCCAATTACAACAAGAAAAGTTTGAAGGATAATTTACTACATAGGTTTTTCTTAAAATATTACTCAAATATATGAACAATAATGTTATTAAATGTACTATGCGGGCGTACCGCTTGATGGTCACTATAACTACAAATAAATAAATTAATTAATATTCGCTAAAAATTACTAATATTTGGAGGTCTCAATTTATTTTGAGAACGTGTCTTTGGAATATGATAATATCATATTATCATTTTTTTTTTTGGAGAAAGACTGCAAATGTGAATTTTAGCTATAAAATAAGAAAGAGAACACATACTATATATGCCGGATTCCGGACTGGGCCGATATAAATAATATTTTTGGGAAAAAATTTACACAGATTTTTTTACACTAAAAATTTAGACATTTTCAAAATTTGGGCCGGGCCCCTGTGCCGGAAAGTATAACAAAAAAAAGTAATAAAATAAGTAAATTAGGAATGGTGGAATGGACTTACGAAATATTGTTAGGGAGTCGTAACTTTTTCTTGATCGCTCCATTCATTGTGTTGTTGAGAAATATTAAGGCAGTAGTAGATACCGTGGAGTCCATAGAATCTCGCAAAAGGTTATATATATCCTGCAAAGAGTTCATTTGGTAAAACTGAAATTGACTGAATTTGTTGAAGTGGTTGTATTGACTGATTTTTCTTATTTATGAAAAAACTATATTTAAAAAAAAATTCTTAATAAATAAAATAAAAAAATATATGAAAAAATAGCCAAAATGATTCAATACAGTAACTTCAGCCAGTACAATCAGAAAAGTAACTTCAATCTTACATTTTCTTATTCTTACACAATTTAGCGCGTGAAATCAAAAAATACGTGTTTGGTGAAAAAACTAACTGATAAGCATGATAAGCTGAAAATGAGGTCACAAAATGGGCTCTAAAAATTACAAATAGGACTTTCATATTTTAAATTCCCTAAATAGGACTAATCATGTGTGTTTAGACAATAATATACTCCTGTAGCTTTTAGGACTAAAAATAAATATTTAATAAAATTTATAAAAAAATTATAAACTAAGAAAACCAAAACAATTAGAAAACAATCATAGATTAAAAATTAAAAAAAAACCTATACAAATATATACAGGCCTTTTCCGCCGCCACTGCCACCCCCAACACCTCCAGCTCTGATCACCGCAAAAATGTCAACATGCACTAGTAATGTCATATTTATGGCAGTTTCAATGAAAATTTTGACATTATCAAAGATATTTAATACCATTTTCTTGGCATTGAAAAAGTGACATTGTTTTTTTTTACACAAAATGACATTTTTCATCGATCGGAGGTGGTGGTGCTAGGAGGCAGTGGGAAAGATATTCCATTTTTTTATATTTTTTATGTGCTTTTACTAATATTTTTAATTTTTATTTTATATTTTAAAATTTTTATTTATAATTATTTTATTTATTTTTTATAATTTTTCTATCCTATTTTTAGTATTATATGATTTTATTATGAATTAAAACATTTTATTATGAAATAAAAAGTGATGAATTAATACTCTTAAGGTATTTAGGGTATGTAAAAAGTTAATGTTTAGTCCTATTTGTGAATGATTTAGACTTTGGTCCTGCAATTAATATTCCATTTAGTCCTATTTAGGACAATTACTAATATTATATATTCCTTGCAAAATAGAGAGTTGATCAAGAGGAACATTCAGGTCCCATCAATTCCATATTTGATTCATTTGGATGGAGAAAAGTAGAAAACATTTCATTAATGTTACTCCTAAAAAAGTTGTGGACAAAAATGAGACTTAATTACTATTATTGACTGTAATAATTGAAAATTTTGATCTCCGTTATGTTCACTAATAGTTATTAAGTCATATATTTTTTTAGACTATCCTAATACTATACGTAGTAGTAGCACCCATAAAATTTGAACATAATTTGATTAACGGTTCAAATTAATATGTCATGGGGCCTAAATTCGCCGTTTAAATTATTACGACCCATAAAATTGATTAGACAATCCTAATAGTAGCACTAAAACATACTTCCTGAATGAATATCAATTAGATTGTTATACTCTGTTCGTCCCTTAAAACTTGTCAACTTTAATTTTTTGGTTGTTACACTAACTTTGTCACTCTCTCTTTTTATTAAAAAAAATTGTGATTCCAAACAATTCTCTCTTTTCTGCATAAACTTCAACCATACGATTTTATTTTATTAATTTTCGTGCCGATCAAACTTGACTAAGTTTTAAGGGACAGAGGAAGTAATATTTTTGTTTAACACCCTGCAGAATGTAGCTAATTCCAAAGGACAATCAGGAGGTTCATATATTCTTAACGAACAAAAGTATGGGAATAAATGTTCTACCACTGAGTTGCTGTTGTTACGTATGACATCTTGAAGTGGCATATATAAGTCAGCTGCCCCTGCAAAGTTGCTTTCACCAATTTTCTCCTTGATTTGATTAGCCATACTGCTTCATTTTAAGTTTCATTTATTAGCAGATAATAGTTGGCTTTTTTAGAGTTTGAACAATGGGATTTATTAGAGAGGTTTCAGATCAGAAATGAACCTGTTAACTTTTTCCAGGCCAATTTCATCAATTCTTGAGAAAGTTTGCAGCAGAGGACCCGATGAAAGCTGTGATGTGGTAATGTTGTTTTACTTTAAATACACTATATTATGTGTAGCTTATGTAGCATAAATGTTGTTTTTTACTTTCAATCATAAATATCATTAATGAAATTGCAAACCATCAACTGGTCATTAGTCTACCTGTTGGTAACAACGTCAAGAATTCACAATGACCTGGCCTGTTTACTGTGAGTAAATACATCGGTAGTATCCAGAGTTAACATTTTCATCAAGAGTGCTATTTAAGGGCTACCTTACTAAGTATTTACCAAAACAATTAGTCAACTTTTCTGGTCAAGACTGATCTGGTATGATCTAGACTATTTAAGTTTGGTCTAGTCAAATCTGATAAATATTTGATCTATCTGTATTTTATAATTGTCAAAATCTGACATGATTAGCTTAAGCCTGATTGGATCTGAGATTGAATCAAATTCTAAGTAAAACATTCTTAAGACACATCATCCTAAAAAGTAAAAACAATAGTGTTACATTTATCATTGATATATCGTTTAACCTTGCCAAACAATTACCGTTAATGAAGACTATCCACGTTTTGTTTAAAGGTTCCCATTGTAAAATAACACAATTATTTAGATACTCCTAATAATTATAAAAGATAATTCGAATATATTTTGAGAAATAGTTTTGATAGACATAAAATATAATGGGATCATTGATGATAACTATGATGTTATAGATGTATTATTTTTTAATATTTGACGATTAAATTGTTATTTAAGAGTATTAATTATTTTTTAAAATTGAAATGAGAATCTGTATATGGAACAGAGTATTGATTATGTTTTAAAATAGAAATGAGAACTTTTATATACGACTATGGGGACATTTTTTACAAGGTTTATGTGAACGGTCAAAATGGAAAAGTTGCATCTGAATAACTTTCTCACTTTTTGAAAGGGAAAAGGGGCAAATAAGTCCACGTACTTACAAAAAAAGGTCAAATAAGGCCTTATTTATGAGGCTCTGGCCGGCTTTCGCCATTTGGGGTGATTCTCGGTGGAATTTTTTGATGAATTTTTTTGACCATTTTATTCATTAAGTCTAGTTTACTCATACCAAATTTCAGCTAACAATTCAATCGGGAAGCCATTCAAATGAATTTTTGAAGATAACTGCGCTTTTAACTGCGCAATTATCTTCAAAAATTCATCTGAATGCCTTCCCGATTGACGTTTTAGCTGAAATTTGGTATGAGTAAACTAGACTTACTGAATAAGATGGTCAAAAAAATTCATAAAAAAATTCCACCAGGAACCACCCCAAATGGCGATGGCCGGACAAAGTCTTTTAAATAAGACCTTATTTTACTTTTTTTGGTTAATACGTGGCTTTATTTGCCCCTTTTCTCCTTTTTGAAACGAGAAGTTTCTCGGAAACAAAATGATAGGACTAGTATGTTGGCATGTTGCGATCAAGTACATATTTTAACATAGGTTCATGTTTTACTCTATTTCAAACCTGAAAATTATCCGTAGTAATTTATATTTAGTCCACAATTTAATTATTACTTCAATGACAAACTATTGAGACTTAAAAGTGTCATATAGATTGGCTCCAACAAAAAATCATAATATCTAGAACGCGTTCTGTGACACTAAAATCGACTGAATCGGCCGGTTCTTTTGATATTTATGAAACTCTTACTGAAATGGTTGGATTGGCTGATTCTGTTGATTTATGAAAAAATTATTTAAAGTATTTTTTGTTAATAAATTAATGAAAAATTATATGGAAAAAGAGCTAAATTAATTCTGTACAATAATTTTAGCCAATACAGTTAGAAAAGTAAATTGAACCTTACTTTTTTTTATTATTATACAATTTTGCGCGCGAAATTAAAAGTTACGTGTTTGGTGAAAAATTTAGCTCATAAGCCCGAAAGCAAAAACCAGAGTGATCAAACGGTCTTTTAATACTCCGTATTATCAATCATTTTTGGAAAGAATAATACTCCGTAGCTTTAAGTTCTTATACTCCGTATAACATACCACAGAATCTTCAGGCGATATCCAACTACTACCTAATGTCACTCCTGCACAAAAGTATAAAATTGGTCATGTTGTTTGATATTCAAATTCAAGTTGACCCGGCAACCTTAGAGCCTCTTTGCTAATACCCAAATCGATTGTATTGGCTGATTCTGCTGAAACTTGTGAAGTTCTGTTCGAAGTAACTGGATTGGTTGGTACTGCTAATTTATGAAGAAAATAATTTAAAATAGGAAAAATTGAAAATAATAATCACAACTATTACCGGTCCACTGATAATAATCTCAACTATTGATTATTTTTGTATAATTCCAACTATATGGACCATCCGCCAATAATGGTCCATGACCAGATATTACCTCCTATAAAAAGTAAATTTTAAATGAAATTAAGCGTAAAATTAAAAGTTGGAATTATTTATAGGGATTACTTGTTATATCTCTTCTCATCCACTTTAGAAACTACGAGAATTTATTTATAGGGACCATTATTGGCGGAAGGTCCCTAAAGTTGGGATTATTCTGAAATAATCGATAGTTGGGATTATTATGGGCGGACCATCAATAGTTGGGATTATTACTATCAATTTTTCCTTTAAAATGTATTTTATTAATTGAATAAAGGAAAAATATAAAAAAAATAGCTTAAATGATTATATACAGTAATTTTAGTCATTATAGATACAAAGTAACTTAAACTTTACTTTTTTTTTATTATCACACAATTAAACGCGTGAAATCAAAAATTACGTATCTGTTGAAAAAATAATCAGTGATAACCTCACAAGCTCAAAAACAATCACCAAACATGCTCTTAAATTTGACATATTTTGCGTACCCTTGAGTTGGACCGGCAAACTTTTCGCCTGAGTTGCATTAAGGATTGACAATCCAAGAGAAACAGCTAACCTTGCTCCATAAGACTCTCCTATTATGTACAAGGTCCTATTTGCTAAATTAGTCACGTTACTCCTGAAAACTTCTCTCAATAAAGTGGTCAAGTCAGATACTGCTTGTGAATCGGTCTTGGTCAATAGTCCAATGTCGTCCACATAACTATATCCAACTCCAACCGGAGAATCCTGCCAAAAAATAATCTTTATGGTTCAATATGGAGAGGTAATTAATAAAGGGTGGGAACTCCGATACCCATTTAAAAAATGGGGTGCCGTACCTATCATTCTCTTGATTGGTCCAAGTAGATATATCATTTTTAATTTAGACTTAAATAATTCAACAGCAATATTCTGATTGGTCCATGTGGACAAAAGTATGATATCTTTTGGGTACCATAGAATCTACCTTAATAAAGTGCTTCTTGTAAAACTATACTCCGTATATTATAAAAATTAGACTAGTTTTTTCCTTTGTCTCTTACATTTTGGAAATTGAGGTTCGGGAACATACCACAAATAGTAGATCAGCTTTTTTCAACCATGTTGAATTTCTTGGCATCAGATTGGCATCAAAAGGTCCAATCTCTAGAAAATTGCCAATTCCAGTTCCAGAAGCTCCCTAATTCAAGCAATATACATAAAAATAAATATGTATATCTTACCATCAAATGTAAGGTGCACATTATGCATCCAAAATAATGGATGTCTGCGCAATAAAAATAGTGTGCACATATCAGCATACATCTCTTTTCAACAAATTGGTGGAATGTTTCCTAACTTCTGTCCTAATGGAATGTTGCTTGTATTGATGGTAGAAGAACACTAAACTCATTCCATTAATTTTCACACAATTAACTCGGTCCATGCCCACATAGAACTAGTTACATTTACTCATTTTCCATTGGTTTAGCGCGACAATGAAAAACATAACAATTCAATCTTAAATTCTTAATAAATTAACATTTCCGAAATCCTTATTCTAAAATTTTATGGATATTGGTTGGCATGCTTTTAAAATGAACTTAAATCTTGTCGGATGAGAATTTTGGGTAAAGAACTACTCCGTATGTACAAAGCTTTCTTTCATGCAAGCAAAGGACATGTACCGGCTTATACTCCTCCATTTGTCCCAACTTACTGGTCTGATGTCTCAATTAAAGGTTATCATATCTAATTTAATAATAATCACTCACATGTACTATATGTTCTCTAGAGAAAAGGTCTAGTTGTAAGTTGTAACTGATGAAGGAACCACTTACTGGTCCACCGTGCAACCAAAGAATAATTGGCCATGGCTTGTTTGGGTCGTTGACTCTATTTTGACTTTTGAGCAGCCACCAAAACATGTGTGCACCTGTGCATCCCATACCCCAAGACACAACCAAAATAGGATTTACATTGCAAAAAACATCAAGCATTTTTTTCCCTATAATAACAAGAATAAAAGGAAAATTGAAAAGTAAGTTCAGATGTTTAATTATAGGTGAATTAATAATTACCTGGTCTAACGTCAATAAAACCCCAAGCTTCTAATCCATTTGGGGATGTTTCAACATTTGCTGCCCCAACTCCAAAGTGATCGGGAAATTGAAAAGAAAGAAACAAAGAGAAAACCACACCAAAAGCACAAATCTTAAAGTTTTCCATCTCTCAAATTAACCCACCAGATTGACTCTTATGTTGTGTGTTCAAACGTGAGTACTTATAAAAAAATTGCGGTGGAGGATGGCTGCAATGTAGTCAGGAACTATTTCATTACCCTTTTCCCTTTCACACTAATGTGAGTAGGACATCAAGATATGTCGCCACATGCTAAAATGTCTTTGGGTAATAAAATGGGCATCTTTTCCGCTTGGTATGATACAACATGTGGGATATTTTTGTTTTGACTGAAATTTTCTAATGTGGTCTATTTCAGTCTGATCAAATTTGATCTGGTTTGATATTAAAATCACTTCAAGTGCTGAAGTGCAAGTGCATGCATCTTATGATTCAAGGGTCGAGGTAGGGGAGGAGGCAATCGGGCACCGACCAATCCCAAATCTGAAAATTCTATGTATTTTTAGTGTATTTATCTGAAAATATTCTTTGTACCGGCCCATTCCAATCATGTATCCTCACTACATAAGTGCTAACGTCAGTGCTTAGATAACACTAGTTTTCCACAGGCAATTAACAATGATAAAAATTATTACTCCGCGCGTACTACATAAGTAATAAGTATCGGTCTACACCTATGAAGTATAATACTCCGGGATATATATACTATCGTATTAAATTAGAGGTCTTCCACAACTCTTTCTTTGAGATTTACTTTTTAAGATGAAATTTGAAGTTTAATGGGATATCAGCGTCATGTCAAGTTCTAATTTTGGTTGTTTAATTTGTTGTGCACCCGTTATTTCTACAGCTCGTTTACAATTATTAGTACGGAGTATGTTGTTATGGAATCGTGTTGAAGTATTTGTATTTGTATGTATAAAATTCTGAATGATATACGAAATCCAAGCATAATAAGGATGTTTTACTTGGATTGTAATTTGATGGTCTGATCTGTTTAAGTCTGGTCTGGTCTGTTTAAATCTAGTCTAGTCTGGTCTGAACTGATCTGGTCTGGTAAATGTCTCATCTCTGTGTATTTTATAACTACGGAAGTCAAATCTGTCTGATCTGATCTATTTAAGTCTGGTTTGATACGATCTGGTTTGTTTTAGTCTGGTTTGATTTTGGACGGAAACCAGTCCAGGTAAAAACATCCTAATAATTGACATTTAAAATGAAACACCAAATCATAGTAATGTATAACAATTGTGGGATACTTACAATCTAAAAAAACATTTGGGAAACCAGATTATACATTTGAATATCGAAATCTTTTACTCCCTCCGTCCCAGGGAGAAGTTCCCGGGTTGACTTTCACACATATTAAAGAAATAAAGTTACTGGGGGGTAAATTTTACTGTTTGGCACTGTTTCGACACTGTTTGGCACTGTTTCGACACTGTATTGCACTGTTTTGCACTGTTTGGCACTGTTTTGATGTAGAATAACTTTCCATTTAAGGAAATGAGAACTTCTTGTTGGGACTGCCAAAAAAAGAAATTGGAAACTTGTCCCTGGGACGGAGTAGTAGAGCCCGTTTGGTAGCACCAAAATCGGCTGTTTTGGCTGATTCTGCTGAAATTTATGATATTCTGGCTGGAGTGGCTGTTTTGGCTGATTCTGCTGATTTAAGAAAAAATATTTTAAAAATATATTTTATTAATAAATTAAAGAAAAAATTATATGTAAAAATAGCTAAAATGGTCCTCTACAGTAACTTCAGCCAATACAGCCAGAAAAGTAACTTCAACCTTACTTTTTCGGCTTATTACACTATTCAGTGCGCGAAAGTAAAAATTACGTGTTTGGTGAAAAAGCTGGCTGATAAGCCTGATAAGCCGAAAACAGAGTTCTCCAAACGGGCTCGTAATATTTTTATTATTCATTAAGTTCTATTGGTGTGTAATTCAAAATCCCCTAGAAACAGCTCAAATATTCATCATTACGCACGATAGTGCATCCCGTAATCGCCGGCAGACCAATTCAAAGCTTCAAAGTATGTTACTTTTAAACTAAAAGTTCTGAAAGAAACCGTTTGCTTTGGGGCCTTCCAAAATGTCAAAAGTTACTTTGAAATTGAAAATAATGTTTATTGATTTTAACGTTTCTCGCGCAATTTGCAGCAAACTTGATAATTCTAATGATAAAACGGTTAGAAACACAAGAAGGGATGAATTGTGTGTGTGGAACCGTGACAGTTTTTCGCCAAGTTCTAGTGGGGTAAAAGGAATTGTGAAATAGTAAAGTGCACAAGAATTTAACGAGGAAAAATCCCTTGGCTCAAAGGGATTAAAAAACCTCGACCTCCCTCGGAGGAATTTTAAACAACTTCACTAAAAAACCTTTGAATGATTACAAGGGAAACTCATAGTCTACCCTTGAGCCACCTCAACTCTATTTTCTCTAGGAAGAGTTATGCTTCTCTACCTTGCGAGTAGAGAGCCTCTCAGATTTACAACAAAGCTCTCACAACACACAAACCAACCCGAGGATGCTACACTTAGTCAATCCTCAAAAACTCAATTACAATATAAGAAGGGAAGAAGAAACTATATCTAGAACTCTGAGAGCAGTTTCAGGTGCCTCGGACTTAGTATTTGTCTCGAGTATATCTCATAATATTTCTCTGGTCAAGCACACCCCTATCTCATAATATAGCTGCTTCGAATATATAGGTTGCCTTGAATCCGTTGGAGCATTCTTCCTTTGAATAGATCAATTCTGATTCTTGCCTTGTTATAATTTAAAAATCCTTCCATCTTGAGTCTTAAGTCAAACGAACTTATATGGACTTCACAAGACTAAGATCAATTAACGTAGAGGAGCAAGGAAATAATCTAATATCTTACCATAATAAAAGTGCAACGTATTATGCAAAGATCCCACTCAAACAATTCAATCAAGGATGACAACTTTAATTTATATGGGAAGCAAATATTTATTTCAAAAATCAAATCCCACTTACGGTCATCTTCCATAAAGCAAGATATTTAATTCATTAATGCTTTAGTCAATCAAATCATATGCTATGCAATCCACCAAAAATATTCCATTTAATATATTAAGTAAGAAATCCTTTTATATCAAATCAAAAAAGTTACGGTCAACTAATTTAAAGGTAGCAAAAGATCTTTCCATAAATTATTCGTATCAATGCATTCAACAGAATATTCATTCAATTATGGAAATATATTAACGCACATAAGATGGCAAGACATGCTCATGCAGACACGTTAGTAATTATGGCAGCAATAATTAAAGAATAGTTTTGTTCAGTTCTGTCCGTCGTTCCACCTACATGGTTAGTCATCAACAAAACCACATATTCAACAACAAAAAAATATACAAACTTAATTAAATCACATAAAGCTAAAGCAAACAATATTTCAAGAAAGTAAATCTATACGCCAATCCTGCCACTTTTCTACAATTTCTTTTCACTTTTGGTCTTACTGTTACATCGATGTAACGTTTTGACGTTTTGTGCACCGAAATTTGCTTGTACACATGTGAAATGTTGGATCCGGCCACATTAGAACAAGGCTTCATATAGTCACCATTATACCCATCTTATATTCGTCTCAAAGTTTTTTTGTTTGTGAATCCGGTTCACAGAGATAAAAAATATGTTATTTTGTCTGTCGAATTTGCACAAACAAATATTGGATGTGAACGGAACTCACAAAAAAAACTTCATAAACATGAGTGAGTATAAAGTTGGGTATAAGAGTGGATGCAAACATCATTTTTAATTTTTTTACTCTGACGTAAGTCACCTAATAAGTAAGGAATGTCACAAGGGAAAGATCTCAGGTTTAACTTCGAGCAAAGAATTGAAATGGAATTCACTCTCTTTTGATTAGGGCGAGATCAAAGTTGTGCTATATTTATATTCTTCCAAATAACTGATTTATATTCTCTTTTGATTCATTTTTCCTATGACAATTTTTTTCACTCTTGGCTGGTTTCACGTTTGCACATTTGCACACCAACATGTGAATTGTAAAATCTACTTCAGAAATCGGTGGGCATAGCTCAACTGATAACGAGGGAGTGCCACAAGAGTTAGGTCCCGGGTTCGACTCCCGACAACTGTGATGAAAGGTTACTCGACAGAGGGCCTCTGCAAGTACCGGGACGAAGCCCCACTCTCTATATGTCACTATTGAGAAGGCTTCGCATTCTAATAGCTTTTAGTTTTTTTGTGATAGATAACTTGTTATGAACATTAGTTAACTTTTAAAATGTTAATATTTGGTGCATGATACTTTAGAAATGCTAATATATTTTAATTAGAAATGATGATTTTTTTTTATTTAATACTCTTTTGTTAGTTTGGGACGTCCCGAACCGTTCCGAATTATCCCAGTCCCGATTTAAATGGGACAAGACTAGGACAAATGTGTGTCCCGTCCCGTACCGTTATTACTAATTGGGTCAGGACTAGGATCACCCTAATCCCGGACCGTCCCGGACAGTGTCCACCCCTACCTCCACATCACCTGCAAATTAAAGTAATTATTTTACATCTAACACATAGATTAGTATATATATCTAACACAAAGATTAGTATGCACTATGTATAATATAAATTTCGAAAAACTACAGGTCAACCTTCCAACTATGTACGGAATGTCTGCTAAGTCTCTCTACTTCAACATTAATAAATTACATCCTTGAAGCATGTAAATTTCATGAAATGCTATATCGGTGGATAACCCGCCGGTTAGCTCATTACCCACTGATGCAGGACGCGGCACATACATGGTCAGATGCAAGCTAAGTGTCACGGACTTGTTCCCTTAACAAGCTCACGTGCGGCCTTAGCTCCTTTTCGCCCCTTGCGATAACTAAGTCAGCCTCGAACAACGCCTTAGTGATGTGTGTGCTAAGTGTTTGGCTAGGAAAGTCGTAAAGGCAAGTCGGTCCCTTGAGAAAGTTTTACAAGTTTATTGAATGCTTGGAAACTTCGAGTGAGTACAAATGAACCACCTTGAGGGGTATTTATACTTTCCTCCTCCTTTTTGGATGGTCAAGATCTATTTGATCTAACGGCTACGATTTATCTCTAGAATATTCTATACAACTCT